GCAACATTGTACAACCCAAAGCACAATGATAATAATCAAATAAATAAAAGTAAATACATACAAAGTACGTTGGCAATATTTTTTCCAACGATGTGGATTCGTGTATTCAACTTGATTATGAATACTGAATGTCCATACACTGCCGATAATCACCCAAATGAACAGGAAAATATAAATGAGCATCGTAATTATAGCCAGTACAACAACAGGAATCAGAGTCTTGAACGATCGAGTATAATTGAGAAACATAGTGACTATTGATAAAATAATACTAAGAACAAAATATCCGAGTGCTACACTGCCACCCACAATAAGAAATAGACTGATACGAGATTCGATTGGACAAAAGCGTCGATGTTGATAGCGAACACCAATGACAAGCATACTCACAGGTATAGCAAGAAGAAGAAATTGAATGATGAGGCCCATAGTTGATGTTACGGCGTTACTAGCCAACAGAAAAGCAAGCATTGGATTGGACGATTTTTCAGACTTGAACTTTTCTTGTACAGATTTTATTGTTATTCGCTCGGAGTATATATCTTCATCCATTTCAATACTCTACCATAGGCTTCGGAGTAAAGATTGTGAATGTACTTTTTGAAAGGGAAGAAATCGAAAAGGAAAAAAAGAATTAAGCGGATGAGAGAATAATGCAAGTAACGGCAAATGAAATATACATAATGAACTCATGCACACATAATGAATGGTTTTTCTTTACATTATTTAAGCCATGTAAGAACGAAAAAGTTTGAGATTATTTTCTCCCTCATCTATTGAATATCGAACTAGCTCATTTTTTTTTCATCCTTCCAACTGCACTCGAAAAAAATCAAAATACGTCAATCAATTAAATGTTCAAAAATAAATATATCAGACGTTTCAAATAGTATGTTAACGCGTGAATCACAATTTTTTGTAGATGTTGTTGAATCTTAGAACTGTTTTGGTTTGTTTTCTGATGTATTTGACAAAAAAAAATGGTGAATGCAGAAGATTTGAAAATGACAGTTATCTGTATCAAAAAGTAGTTTATAGATGTCTGATCGTTTTAGTATTTATTGAATCAAGTTTTGGACTTTAGTAAGACAAAAAACATTCATAAATCAAATCGCAAAGGGTGTTAATGAACATCATTTTATGGCTCAAGCAAACAAAAAATACGTAAGAATGCCCTTCAGAACTAGTCTAAAATATCTAACATGCTCTTCAAGATTGATCGTCTTTACAAAGAATGTGATTCGACTATGTCTGGATTAGTTCAAAATGTGTTTATACTCATTATATTTAGTCCATTGTACCTCTTCACTCCGTTCAGATTAGTCAACAGAACAAAAAAGTAAACTATAAACAGATTCGCATATTTGATACGACATCTCACAATAGGTTGACGTCATTTAGATTGTCTCACTAGCAGAGTGACACTAATTGATTTGATATGTATTCAGTAGTGATACAAACTAGTCTAATGCGGTATGCTGGTTGATCATGATTAAAAAAATTCTTTCAGAAACATTTTCATAAAGTTTTGAAAGTTATCTACGGTATATACTTCTTGGTTTCCTATGCATAAAAAAAAGCAATTCGGTTTTCTGTAATTTTCTTATTATGACGCCCTTATTTTACATCAAAATATTTTGAGTGATATATTATTCAATAGAGAAAACCAAATTGAATCCAAGCATGCCTTTTGTTCCTAAAATTCGTTTCAAAAAAATACATATTAATTACTAAATAAAATTAGTATTTTAAATAAGTTTTTTTGAGGCCTCTACAAAATGGTGTGCTTGAGTGTATGATAATTATTTTTTGTGAGTATGATAGAAACCTATGTTTTCAAGTATAATTTACAGAGAAGACGGAGAAGAAAAAGAGAATGTTTTTGCTCTATAAGTTTATCTACATAACCTGTGAATATCTATAATACTTTTTTTCCTTCATTTACTGACTCGACGTCTATAAAGGAACAAAACGAAAAACATTTTCTTTTTTTTCCGTCTTCACTGTATATTATACTTGTAAATAATGGTTTCTATCATATTCATAAAAAAATAATTATTATGCATCCCAGCACAACATTTTGTAGAGGCTTCAAACAACTTATTTAAAATACTAAATTTATTTACCAATTAATATGTAATTTTTTTCTAATGAATTTTACGAATGAAAAATATGATTCGACTCAGTTTGTTTTTCTCTATCGAATAGTATATAACTTATAATATTCAGATGCAGAATAAAGATGCTATAAAAAGAAAATAAACAGTGTATGTGCAGATATTTCAAAATTTTACATCTTGAAAAATGGATAGTACTACCGTTCAATTTATTCTGGAGGATAACATCAAGTCAATCATCGTATCTGCAAAAATGATTTGTAGGGACAAGCTTTAAGCAACACTTACCGAAAATCTTGTTGTCGTTACGGCTGATACGAAGAAATGCCGCTGGTTAGATTGCTTCTCTTGATTTTCCAGAAAAAAATTGTAACGATATAAGCCGTCGCTTCTGCTGTGTTTTCCATTTCATCCGTGTATCTTATTGGTCCGACAACAAGAAAATATGTGCTGTTCTTTTACCGAGTAATTTTATGATGCTAGACGAAAAAATTTTCTTCACTGCTCAAAGATCGCATCATGGAAGCGTTCTACTATTCTCTTTCTGCTTCTACTTAGCTGTCAACATTGATGTTCTGTAATTGTGAGATGATAACAAACTTCGAATCTCTTATGTTATTGAAGGAATGTAACACTATTCCATTAAAATTGTAATAACAAGAATGAAAATCCAGTGTCCTAAAAGTTGATACATCATATCAGAGCTATTGCAACTGATGACGAGCGTCCCATTAAGTCGTGTAGATGCTGTAAACATACCTGACATTTGTTTGTTCGTTTGTGACATTGATTGCATCGTCTTTCTCATATAAAGACGGATGAATTGGTTTTGGGCGTATGAGAAAGATGTGAAATAGTGATTAAAATCAGTGATATTCTATGCTTAGAAAATTTTTCATTTTCATTCCTGAAGTTTCAACAGCAAGTTCATCTTCATTGCACATATCAAAGGGAGAGAACTACCATTGAATGAGAAGAAAAGTTTAGAAAGATCATTGCTCGAATGTGAATTGAATCAGCAAAATTACTATTTTTATAAAAATGAGTTCATATAATTTTTGATGTTGATTGTTGGATAACATATTCTTCTCTTGGACCAATCAGATTGCCAACCTAGTGTCGAGAATGGGAATCAATAGCTATAGAAAGAAAATCTATCCATCTCAAATTATCTTTATAGAGCAGAAAAGAATTTAAATTCTTTTTGAAGATAAAATTCGATGAAAGATTGGAACTCCTATGTTGAAAAAATGATCTATCATAATTTGTGACATAGTGTGCGGCGTTGTGTTCTTGTTGAGACATATTCATTGAACACATGAAAAAAGTAATACTATCATCTTATAGTCCGATTTGGAAAGACTAGACATCGAGGTTTAAACGTTCAGTAACATTAAATTGACTGAATGTTGATTACTGATTGTCGACGTATTCCCAAAAAATAGTAAATTTCAAATGTAAGGAAAGTTAACGACTGATTCGAGTTTTCTTCAGAGCAATTCACAAAATCCAATACGCCAAGTATGATATATTGTGTACCGGATAGAGCTCAACGAGCATCTATCGCAAGTTATCTTTAGATTTAAAGACAAAATCGAAAGCAACTCAATATTAAAAAAAAATTATTTGTATCGTAGCGAAAAGTTAAAAAGTAAAATATTTTCTAAAGTTATTCGATGCATGATCCGCGCTATATTTGAAATTTAAAATATTTGACACAGTTTGATGTGCTCTATCTAAAGGTGTATATAACATCGTGATCAAGGATATGGGTGTGATTATTGCCTTCATCCACACCACATCCACACCCTAGTCTTATGAATCAAGAATACTTATTGAAATGTACTGTACTAATTATCGGATTGTTAAAACATTTTATATCGCTAATAAAAGTTAACCCTTCACGAAATATTGATTTAATGTTGCCAAATAACAACATTCGGCTGAAAAAGTTAATTAATTAGAATTTAAAGAAAAAATTAAAGAAAGATCATTAATAACCAAATCCAAATCTAATCATTCTAATATTTGCTGAGACATTTCCAATGAGGATGTGCTCTTTGCTCATCCTCACTCATAACTACGTCCGCAACATGATTCCATATTTCAAATATGCCTTTTAGTATACATGAATATGGCTGTGGGTGTTGGTCAAGCTAACAGTAACACCCACACCTGGACGTTCTTTGATTTATTAAGTTCTGAATAGTTGGTATTATAGAATTAATTATTAATTTAATAAAAAACAAATCTGCTTTTTGCAGATATGAAACGCAAAATTCTGCCATTTATTATTGGTTACCCATTATTTCTTCATTATATATGAAAGTTCGAAAGTAATTTAATCAAGTTTTTTTTACGAGCCATATCGGACTTATGAAAAAACAAAACATTATCTCTGATAAAGATTATATAATCTTTTACCTGTGCAAAAAATACGAGTCCAAGTTTTTTTCGAATATTCAAGTCATTTGTATGGTCACGAAGATTCTAGAATATTTTAGAGCTTTCTAAGTCTATCTATGATTGCTAAGGTTCGTATTGGAAGAGTTTATAAGAATGGACAGGATGAGTTCGAAAAGAACGTTGATTTAAAAGTATACTCACTATGCTTTTTTTTCCGAAAATATACATAAATTCCACAAAATGATATCATTCATAAATTTCAACTTCTCCAGAGTTTATAATTTATTCTTTGTGAAATCTTCTAATAAACATTTATTTAATATGAATGACTATTTTCGATTTTCTGCAATTATAGATCATAAATATATCTATTGAAAGTTCAATCTCTGATTTATTTATTAAATGAATTACAAAGCTATCATTATCATATATAACAAGAAAATAAATAAATAGAACAAGTCCTAAAGAACTTAATTTTTACCACCATAAATGTAAACGCTGACTAATGTATTCAATAGAGTAATTATCAAGTAAATTATCTAATTTAATTAAATCCTTTGTTTCTTTTAAACATACTTCTGGAAAATATGAAATACATAAATAAAATAAGTGTTGTGCTTGATTATGAGTTTTTGATAATAAATATTGAATTATTGATGATATTTCTGTTGTACTATTTATTTCAATGTTAAGATATTTTAATTTCGAAAATACATAAATAATGAATCGAATTTGATTCAATGAACAATTACCAGTAAGAACTAAATTTTCAATTTTATTTTTCTTTAATATATCTTGTAAAAGTGTATTGTATTTAGTGAAATTTGAATCAATCTCTTGCAAAGAATATGTATTAAATTGTAATGTGTATAAATTAGGTGTTAAACATAATAATTTAATAAATTCTTCTAATGGAAAAGGACAAGATTTAATAACTAATTTTGTAAGTTGTTTTAAAGGAATCATAGATTTAAGATTTGTTATAAATGAATCTTCATCTAATGTTTCAGCGTAATAATGAATAGTTAATTGATTAACATTTGAAAAACAATTTCGACAATTTGGTTTTATTTTACTCGCAATAGTAAGATGTTTGACCGATTTGAAATTTTCTCTTTGATGACATAAACCGAGTTTTTCATCTATCTCCCAATAATATGTATAATCTTTTCTTCTAAATAAATGAAATAAAGAATAATATATAATGATAAACGAGTGATTGTTTTCAATAGAAACCTATCGGAAGAAAATATTTTCTTTCAGTAGTTTTTCTATTGAAGTACAAACGAAATTCGACATTACTGTCTTATTCCTTTTGTATAATAGATTAATTTCTATTTACCGATATGGACTAGTTGAATAAAAAATTCCACTATTTAATTGGTATTCCTGTTTATGTTGATGTGTAAAAAACCATTTATTTTCATTCCAGAACGAAGAATTAAATTGATTAATTATATCACGATATCTTAAATTTTTATTGTTTAGAAAAGTTTGATGATTAATATCAAATATACGTAAATATGACATATGAAAGAAGATTAATTGTTGCCATCGTTTAGCATCTAAATATGTTTCATCACACGTTATTGTAAGACATAAAATTTGAATATGATAAAAAAATTCTTTGATAATTTTCTCAAATTTATCAAAATGTACATCAAAAAGTTTAAGAGAAACACGTTTTAAATATTTTAATTGAATAGAAGATAATTTGTTTCTTTCTTGATAATCCACACGTCTACCAAGATAATTAATTGATAAATGTTGAAGTTTAGGAAGACAACATAATAAATTATGAAATGCGTTAAATGGAAAATTACCATTTATTATTAAATATTCTATTGAACTAGAATCATAATTAGTAAAATCAATAGATAGTATTTGTTGATATTCAATTTTACAATATTTTAATGTCGATGTACGAAATATTTGAGAAAAAATAATATCTAATGATGATATATCTTTAACAAAAGAAATAGTGATTGCATGAAGGGTAGTTAAACATATTAAATAATCAAAAAATTTGTTAAAATTTATATTTTGTACATTATCAAGAATTAATATTTGAAGACGAATGAAATTCAAAATCGAACGTGGTTCTGAAAAAACAATCTCGGCAACAAAT